CACGGTGCGCAGCGGTGTGTCTTCTGAATAAATGAAAATGATTTAACACAGTTGTTTATACTTTTAGCAGCTCTTTTTATTCCACAGCTGACCTGCTAAAAATGACAGATTTTTTTTTCTGGATCTCTGACAGACGGACTTCAATCTCTGAACTCGTAAAGTTCTCCTTTTTTATAATTATCGCTGTCATTTTCATGAATGGACACTTCCTTGTATCTGAGGCAGGAAACACAGCCTTATTTGGTGTTTTTGGGGTGGTAATTATGCTAATCTCCTCTCGCGTGTACGAGCAGCCGGATAGAACAGGTGGAATTTACGCAGCTCATTTACACACTTTTCCTGAAGATAGAAGAGTTTGTTGAATCTGACGTGGCATGTTCGTATGAACCCTTTGTACGAACAAAAGTAAGAGAAATTTAGGAGAAGAATACGAACATGTTCTTGCATGAGGCCCATTGTCGCTGTCTCAACAGAACATCAGTTTTACAAAGCCAGTGTGCAGCACTTTCATGCAAAAATGTAGAGGTTTAATATCACTGTACTTTTCTTAAACAGCCATGTTGAGTTTGAGAAAGAGTTGTTTTAAAAGCCTGAAAACTGATAAAAAGTGATCATTAGACTGCCGTAAACACAGATGTCTGCCCCTCTCTTCATACGCTGTCCTTTACAACTGATTAGTTTATTTTAGTTTGTTCTTTGAGTTCTTTTTTTTCTAGACCTTTTCTGTTTTGATCGTTCTCCTGTGTGATTCAGTTTAGTTTTCACCTGTCAGTCTCTGCTCTAGCCCCGCCCACGTTCACCTAATCCTTTTGTTTGTTCCCATGTTTGTCCCACTGCCTGCTTCTTAACTTCCCCTTATATTCTAAGTGTTCTATTTGTTTATAAAATAAATGAATAATCCGGTTCATCCCAGAAACATTATTGTTCCAGAGAACAATAGTGATTTTGAGCTTTTAGTGAACCCTTTTACATGGCTCTGTATAACTGCATATAAAACTGTCTCTACATATTTATATATGGTACATCAGAAAGTACAGTTTATATGTTAAAGCTTTGTATGATGTGAAACACGGAGGTGAAAGCTACATACTGCATGAGGATATACAGTAGTTCCTTTACCTGAAGCAGCAGGGCTATATACGCATAAATATATTTTAAAAACACACACGCATATGTTTGTGTGTATAAATATATGTACAAAAACAGTGCTGAAAGCTATGAAACAGATTGATTTACAGTTTGTAAAAAGTAATGCATCAACTTTTATCACGTCTAGGCTGGATTACTGTAATTCTTTAATATCTGGGCATCCAAAAAACTCTTTAAGAAGTCTTCAGTTAATCCAAAATGCTGCTGCTAGAGTTTTAATGAGTTGGAAGGAGAGATCATATTTCTCCAGTTTTAGCTTCTATCCACTGGCTCCCTGTCAAATTCAGAATAGAATTTAAAATATTACTCCTAACATACAAAGCTCTTAACAACCAAGCTCCATCATATATTAAACATCTTATTGTTCAACACATTCTCATGCCCCCCACAACAACATATTGACGTTTGGTCAGGTAGCCATCGGCATCAACTTTCAGACGCACCAGGCACCCCCCTACCCCCACCCCACCGTGCGACCGTTCTTTACGAGACGAGGAGGAGGAGCGTGTCGTCTTATTGTTTTACAAGAGTAGGAAATGCGCAACACTAACCATCCCAGACCCTAAATTTAACTTCTATTAGCCTTATACAGCCTATCCCAGACCCCAGACCCTCCCTAAAGTTAACCATTAATCCTGATCCCTCATGTTAACCACAGACACTAAAGTTAACCATTAATCCTGATCCCTCATGTTAACCTCAGATCCCCGACCCAAAGACCCCTAAGTGACGCAACCCGGAAAAGCCACAGGTGGCAAGGACGGACGCGCGGGGGGTACCTGACGTGTCAAAACTGGTGCAGACAGTCCCTGCCCAAGCATCAATATGTTGACGAGTCCGACATGAGAATGTGTTATATTGTTCCATACTTTCCTAACAGAGCACTTCACTGTCAGACTGCAGGTTTACTTGTGGTTCCTGGAGTTTCTAAAAGTAGAATGGGAGGCAGAGCTTTCAGTTATCAAGCTCCTCTCTTGTGGAACCAACTTCCAGTTTCTGTCCGTGAGGCTGACACTCTGTCTACTTTCAAGACTAGACTGAAGACTTTCCTTTTTGATAAATCATATAGTTAGACTTAGGTTTCCTGAGTTATTCCTTAGTTATTATAGTTAATTAGTTATGCTGCTATAGACTTAGACTAGAGCACAAACTGAGCACATTTCCTCACTCTGCTGTCTTTAGTCTCTCTTATCTACATGTTTGTTATGATTATTTCTATCACTAACGTGTGTTTTCTTTGTCTCTCTTCCAGAGGAAAACACACCTGGACCAGTCCTGTTTGACTGTGTCTCTTTCCTGTCCCCCCAAACCCAGCCGGTCGAGGCAGATGGCCGCCTGTCCTGAGCCTGGTTCTGCTGGAGGTTTCTTCCTGTTTAAAGGGAGTTTTTCCTCTCCACTGTCACCATGTGCTGCTCAGGATGGAGACTGTGAAGAAGTGAAGATTCAACACAATCTGCTGGCTTCGATTGTTGTTTTTTTCTTTGTAAAGTGTCCTGAGACGACATTTATTGTGACTTGGCACTATGTAAATAAACTGAACTGACTGAAACTATACCATATACCAAGTGTTTAATACATATACCAACTACGTATACCAAGCGTGACCTACATTATGAGAAAAAGGCTACTAAATATTTTAAATTACCTTCACCTTACGTTTCAGAAATTCCTTTTCTAACATTCATTAGACTTTTGTTTTAGATTGATTTAGTGGACAAACGTCCCCTCCAGCAGGTATCTTCCTGTACAACACAGAGCTCCTGAAAGCAGCAGATTTACACCAATGGCTTAATGTTTGATTTCTGCCCCTCTTCTGATCCATCTGGGGTGTTGTTAGACTTTCTGTGGGAGGGAGATGTTTCTGCTTTCAGTTTTAAAGGTCCTGACTGTGTGGCTCTATTTTCACACCTTCAGCTTGGTTTTCTTTCTCAGGGCACAAGTTAAACCAGTAACCAGAGGTGCTACAGGCACATGTAGGTTTTAAGATCAGAACAAGGACCTGATTAAAGGTTATATTGTACATAAAAGCCTCTTGTGATTATATAATCTTGTTGGATCAGTGCATGGTGCTGATATTAGTCGTCTTTACATGCAGCTCTGCAGCCTTTACTCAGCTAACAAAGTCTTCCTCAGTTTTTGTCCACACAGGACGGGACAGAAGAAGAGAAAGATCCACAGAGCAACAATCCACAATCAGATTCAAAGCTCTGATTGGTTGCTCAGGTCATTGTCCTCCACTCTCATTGGCTCCACAGTTCCAGAGGAGTGCTGTGAATGGCTGGAACAGGACAGGCGGGAAGTGTCGTCCTCATCCACCGCCATCACCGCCCTGCTCCTCCAACGCAACTCGCTCCTCTGCGCCTCCATCTCTGCTTCCTCCTCCTGCTCCTTTCGTCTCTCCCTCCTGCTCCTCCTCTGCTCCCCCACCGTCCACACGCTGTCCTCCTCATCCTCCTTCCCCTGCACCTCCCTGTCGAAGTCCAGGAGCTCCTCCATCATCTCCTCGATCTCTGTCTCTCCATCCATCTCCTCCTCCACCTCAGAGCGGAGCTCACCCATGCTCTCAGTTCGGTTGGTGTCATCCGTCTCCTCCTCCTCCTCCATAAGACACTTCGGCCGGTCGGGGGGGTCGCTGGCCTGACTTTCTCCGAACTCTAGGATGGTGGGCAGGTTTCCCTGCTTGGGACAACGTTTCCTGAGGCTGACCAAGAAGGGCTGAGGCAGGGAGAAGATGTCCACATTGTTGCCTAGGTCGATCCAAGTCACGCTTGGGAAGCTGTTAGGATCCTGGAAAGAAAAATATACTAATTAACAACCATTAGTTAGAAGAAACCAACAATGCTTGTACATCCCCAGATAGATATATTTTATTTTTGTTAATGTGATTACTGTCATAGTTTGGGTTTTTTGGCTTCTGTTTTTGTATTATGGTTAGGTTTTTTAGGTCCTGTTTTGGGGTTTTGTTCATGTGGGTTTTCTGTTAAGTTCCTTTTTGTCTCAGGTGTGTTCAGTTCTGTGATTAGTGTTGCTTCCATTTCCTCAGGTGTTTTCTGTTAACTCATTAGTTGTCCTGTGTATTT